TATGTATATGAATAGCTGATTCATTTTGTTATAAAGCAGAAACTAACACACCATTGTAAAGCAATTATACTCCAATAAAGATGTTAAAAAAAAAAAAAAGAAACTAGAAATCCTATACAGCTTCAGAGTTGTTGTCAGTGAGGAATTTCAGAAATGCATTTTGCTTTTTTCATATGTCCTATGGTCATAAAACAATTCCTAGGGGCTTATGGGCTCCCATTTGCTGATTCCAATGCTTAATGTATTGTGTGAGGCAACATAGCTATTCTAGATTTTTTTCAGAGCAGGGGATGCAAAGTTTTCTAAAGAGCCAGACAGTGAATATTTTAGACTTATGAGCCCTGTCACACTTGTTCAACTCTGCCACTGTAACAGAAAATCAACACAGGCCATACTTAAATGAATGGGTGTGGCTGTGTTACAGTAAAACTGTACTAACAAAAGGAAGCACTGACAAACCTTGCTTTTGATTATGATTGAGGCGTTTTTTTTTCTTTGTGCTATGCTGACTACCCAGGTTCCGTTGAGTAAAGTGATTTCTGAACTGCTCCCACTTATTTTTCCTTCTTAAGAATCAGATAAGGACAGGAGGATCTCAAATACTATTGTGCAGTAGGTTATCTTTTTATCACTTACTTTCACGCTTGAGTAACCTGAAGCTAGTGTGGTAAAGGTACTCCTAGATTCTAAGCATGTATCTCTGTCTTCAAAGCTCATGTTCTTTCCTTCGGGCATGTGAAAATTTTTGGGAGGCTTCTACAATCTGTCTTTTTGCTCTTGGAGTTTCTGCAACTGCAGATAACCTATCTGATGGTCCCTTGCTACATTCTGGCCTTAGGTCAACTCATTTCTATGAAGAAGTTAACAAGTGATATCATTTGGTGATACACATGTGAGTATGTCCTCTTATTAAAAGGAGACTCCCAAAACTGAAATGTCTTGAACAGACAGAGAAGTACATTTCTAATTGTATACTGAATATACCATGTTAAAAAGTAGACAAGAGATTTTAGGAAAAGGCTACCTATCTAATCACACTTTGTATGTCTTCTTTATCTACTCACAAGGCAAAGTTTGAAAATATCATTCTTCTCTTTTCCCTCTGTCATATTTGAGTTCCTGGAATTGGCAAAACGTAACCATGAGTGCCTGAGGCAGCTTCCTCCCAATGTGCCCTACGTGTTCTGCCACCGTCTCCACTGCCTTTGGAAACTGGAGGTGACTCAGCACTGAAGAATCTTACTGACTCTTTGCATGACTTTGGCATAAGAGAAAGTGCACATTCCTCTGTCTACCCCTAGTTGAGCTTATGAACAGGGACTCTGGATCCAGTCTACCTGGGTTCAAATCCTAGCACCCTTACATGCTAGGTCTGTGACCCTGAATGACTTTTTCTTTTTTCAACATTTTCATGCCTCAGTGTGAGTATATATGATGGGAATAGGAAAGCACTAATCTCCTAGGGTGACAAGGATTAAAGGAAATCACATATGTAAAGTACCTATAACAGTGCACGACAGGATGTGAGCACCGCATGGAATATTAGTTGCTATCATAATCATTATCATCAACACCTCTTTTCAAAACTTCTCCATAAATGCTTTCGCCTGTTATTTGTCAGATTATCTGTCCTTTCCTTAGTCTTCTACCAACATTTCTCTTTGTATCTTTATTAAAGAACTTAAAAAGTTATGTTTAATAGTATATGACTTGAATGCTTGCCACTCCCATAAAATTCAGTGTCTTAGGACAGAAGTCATAATGCTCTCTTCCTCACCTCTTTTATCACAGGGCCTTAGAATGATGTTTTCTCATATACTGTACATCAGCTAAGTGTGAAATAAATAAGAATGCAGGAACCCTCTTGCACTGTTGGTGGGAATGTAAATTGATACAGCCACTATGGAGAACAGTATGGAGGTTCCTTAAAAAGCTAAAAATAGAATTACCATATGACCCAGCAATCCCACTACTGGGCACATACCCAGAGAAAAACATAATTCAGAAAGACACATGCACCCCAATGTTCACTGCAGCAATATTTACAATAGCCAGGTCATGGAAGCAACCTAAATGCCCGTCAACAGATGAATGGATAAAGATGTAGTACATAAATACAATGGAATATTACTCAGCCATAAAAAGGAATGAAATCAGGTCATTTGTAGAGACGTGGATGGATCTAGAGACTGTCATACAGAATGAAGTAAGTCAGAAAGAGAAAAACAAATATCATATATTAATGCATATATATGGAACCTAGAAAAATGGTACAGATGAACCAGTCTGCAGGGCAGAAATAGAGACACAGATGTAGAGAACAAACGTATGGACACCAAGCGGGGGAAAGTGGCGGGGGAGGAGGGGGTGGGATGAATTGGGAGATTGGGGTTGACATATATATACACTAATATGTATAAAATAGATAAGTAGTAAGAACCTGCTGTATAAAAAAAATGAAATTCAAAAATTCAAAAAATAAAAAATACAGGCAGAGGAGCTGAATAGACATTTTTCCAAAGAAGACATACAAAGGGCCAACAGGCATATGAAAAGATGTCCAATATCACTAATAATTAGGAAAATGCAAATCAAAACCACAATGAGATATCACCTCTTGCTCGTTACAATGGCTACTATCAAAAAGGCAAGAAATAACAAGTGTTGTATCTAGAAGTTCAGCTAAAAACCACAAAGTGCTCAGACAAAACTGATCCAAACAGAATCCCTTCTCTTGTTAGCCAGAGACAATAGTAAACTACATGTGTTTGTAACCGCCTATAAATCAAATGATGCCATCGATCTTAAGAGATGTCTGCTACACAGTATACAACCTACATGTGCCTGTACAAACTACCAAAAATGTACCTCTTTGACTCACTTAAGAGCTTTCTTCATCAATTATTTACAGGTGAGTTTCTCCTGAATCAGCGAAGTAATAAATAATGCCTTTGCTTAACGTGACAGATATGAACTGGTCATTTCCAGATGTGTGATACTGGTCTCAGACTACAGTTCTCAATGGGAGCAGAACTGTCCACCAGGAGGCGCTCCGAAAATCGGAGGAAGCATTTCTGTCTTTCCCAAGTATTAGTGGAACTTACTAACATTCAAGGGTGGAAGCCAGGGATGACAGACATTCCACAGTGTGCAAGGCAGTCCCACACAACCACCTTGTCCTAATCCCTGCCTACCTTCAAATACCCTGAAAAAAATATTTACCATGAGTTGTTCACATCCCAGACAGCAATTTGTAGTGTTTAATTCAATACACCTCAATCTGTCTGCAATGTCAGCTATCTTGTTCAAAGTGATTTCTCACTGACTTTAGTCACTTTTTTAGTGTACTCATGACCATGCGTTTACATATTTTATTTATCCCATATACCACAGTTAAGTCATTATATTAATTTTTTGGAAATTATTTCTGTAAATATGGTATGCCCATGATTTTCACATCAGGATAATAAGGAAGTATTACAAAATATTTGCTACAGAAAAAATACAATGGGTCTGAGAATTGAGATCCACTCTTTTGGATTAATTTATCTGGCTTTCAGTCATTAAGATTTGTGTAATTGTCCATTTTTATATGGACTCTATAAGAAATACTATGCAGAGACCTGTATTTTGTCTGGCTCTGCTACTATGTGTCCCTGAGCAAGCTGTTCACTTTCTTTTCTGTGGACCTTAGTTTGTCTATCTATAACATAGAGAATTAGACTGGATCCCCTCCAGAGATTCTTTTCATTCTGGTATCTTAGAATTCTAAACATTTTCAAATGTCCTTAGCCATCTTCAAAAACCTGAAAAGTCAATTATAAATATTCTTGGCCATCCTCTGAAAAGTTTGATCTATAATATTCCCATCAGCTCCAGCAAATAATTTGTCAATTCTATGAATACTAAAAATAGAAATTAGATTAAGCAGAAATTCAAGAAGGCTATCAAATGCAGACACAGGGCTGTGCCAGATACACTAGGCAGAAATTTAAACAAGGGGGTTTATTCCTTCCTGCAATACAGCTGTTCATCAGACTTTCTGAAATCACCCTTCCTGACAAATGAAAAACTGATTGTCGGACAGGAAGCCCAAAGCCAAAACTGCAAGTAGAATGAAAAAGACACCCACTGGCCGGACCCTGAATGAGATTTCAGACAAGATAGGGCGTGTTCAGGGTGGTATAGCCATAGACCTGAATGAGATTTCAAAGGCCATTCTGCCATTCTTTGCTCTGAATTGCCAACTTCTGTTCTCTAGGATGAAGACAACTTTTGCTTACATTTGCAGAGAACTCAATTGGAAGAATTTTTAATGTTCTGTCCTGTATATTTTATTTTTTATCACTGACTCCAGTGTAAGAACTCACCCCCTGAAAAAACCAAAGTACAGAAAAGGTAGGTAGCAGGTCCAGAGTCACCAGGTCTATTAGCAGAGGAGTCCAGATTCCTATTTAGATCTCCTAAGCTACAATACAACCCTCATCTCTCTCTTCTACACCCCCCTCTGATGAAGCTGTTACACATCTCAGTAAAGGCACATGGGAACTGAGGGAAATTAGGCTTGGACTTCAGGGAAGTGTTAGAAACAGACCCTCAAACAGGGTTCCTGGAAAGCAAAATAACAATCCACTGCATTCATGCAATGTAACAGGGGACTAATCAAGCATTTCTATGTTGATACAATCTTTTGACTTAAAATGGTATTAAGCCTGTTAAGCATGTATGTAACATCTGGATCAGTATGTACATATTTTGTAGCTTACATTTTAAAGAAAGGTTTTGAACAGCTTTTGTTATATGTATTTGCTCTTTAGGAATCCAAAAAAAAAAAAAAACCACAAACGCTTCTGAAGCAAAGAATAAATGAATGAAAGTAATAAAAAATTTTCATTTCATCCCTTGCAAACTAGTAATATATACAGGATCCCTGGCACTGCTGTCAGCAGCCAAAACATGCACTGAATGCTAAGGATCTGACACAGCACTGCCGGCCTCACCTGCAGAGCATAATGCTCTATTTCCTCCGCTCTGCTCTGATACCAGTCCATAACCTTCTCTACTGTAAGCTGGGATGTCCTGTACCTCAGCAACTCAGGCTGTGCAGCGTACAAGAACTCACTTTCATCTGGGAGACTCGGCTCAATCACCATTCTGCAAAGCACAAAAAGAACAATTAATAACTGATTGAAATGCTAGGGGAAAGTATAATTTTGTGAAAGACAGAGAGGGAGACAGAGACAGAGATGTGGAGAGAGCAGTTACTGAGACTGGCAGTATGTATGTACGTATGCGTGGGTGGGTGTGTTTGTGTGTGTTTTCCTATATGTATCTGCACACTTACAAGATAAATGGGAAATTTGGGGGATGCTTAATTTAGTTTCCTATTAGTTTTCACAATTTAAAAAAATCAGAATAGACAATAAATCAAAAAAACTATGCCACAAGTCAATCAAATAAGTATTAAATAAAATCAGAATCACCCAGGGTAGCTTTAAAATGCACATGGCTGGGTAACTGCCACAGGTCTACTAAGTCACAATGACCTGTGATGCCAGCCAGGCCTAGTTTAGTAAAAAACACCCCCAGGTGATTCTGATCCAAATATAAATTAAGAAGTCTTGTTTTCCACATTCATAAAAATAAGAGGAAATATGCCTTATTTTTGTTGATAATATAACTTCAGTAGGTATCAGCAACATAGTAATGCACTGCAATTTGCAAAATAAGGAACTACTCTATACTACATGCCATCAGGAGTGAAAAAGAAACGACATCAAGAGGAAGATACCCGGGGAAAACCTCACAGGGATCACAAATTATGAGGAGTTTTTACAAGGACAATCCTGGCCAATTGCCTTCAATGGTTAAGAACTAAAAAAATAAATCAATAAGTAAAAAGAAATAAAAATTAACTTAATGTAAGATATTTCAGATAGAAATAGGGGGAAAGACCGTGTTCCCTTAGGGATATTCATTCATCTAAAGTAAGTCAGTAAAGGACAAGTGGTATAATTATTACTATTACAAGGCAATGGGCTTCAGTCAGAACTGAGGTGCAATTCCTTCACTGAAAGCTGTGAAACCTTGCATAAATTAGTTAAAACTCATCTAAGATTCATTTTGCTCATATCAAAAATGGGAATAATACCATGCAAGAATATTCAAAATAATATAGATAAAGTACGCAGAGAATGCTGTCTGGCCCGGAGCAGGTACTTAATTTTTACTTACAGGTATTATTTCCATTGGAATTACTAGCAGTTATAATATATGACCAGACTCAAAGCTGACAAATATTTGGGTGTTTAATCAACATGACTTAGACAACCTACTGTGCTTACAACTGGTAGTCCTTTACTTAACTAGACTCACAACCGTCATTAACATTCTGACCACAGTGATTCTTCCCCATCACTGCCACATAAAAGTCACATCCCTTCCCCTGAAATCTTCCCATTTCAGGGAAAAAATACCCATAAGCAACTTTGAGTTCCTTTGATACTTTTTTCAGTCCTTATCTATTTCCCTCTCAGCACTGTTTCACAGAATTTAACCATTTTCTCCTTCTAGAAACATGCTTGTCTTTCGTTCCAGCATGTCATACTGTCGTGCCATACTGTCCAGCTATACAGGTCCCATCTTTCTGGCTGTTCCTTTTCGGTCTTCTTTGCTAGAATATCCTCCTCCAGCTGACCATTAAGTACTAGCTCTTCCAAATTCTCCAGCTCTCCTGTCTTCTCACTATACTCTCTCTAGGTCTCCCCTTCAATGCTACAATATAAACTGACCACCATATTTTTACGCCTAACCCAGACTTCACCTGAAAGCTCCAAAATCGTCCTTCTATATGCTCTTAGATGTTTCTCAGGCATTTCAAATGCAACAACATCAAAACTGAATTCACGGGCTTCCCTGGTGGCGCAATGGTTGAGAGTCCGCCTGCCGATGCAGGGGGAACACGGGTTCGTGCCCCGGTCCGGCAAGATCCCACATGCCGCAGAGCGGCTAGGCCCGTGAGCCATGGCCGCTGAGCCCGCGCGTCGGGAGCCTGTGCTCCACAACGGGAGAGGCCACAACAGTGAGAGGCCCGCATACCGCAAAAACAAACAAACAAACAAACAAACAAACAAAACAAACGAATTCACGATATCGCGAGGTAATACAGTCTTTTATAAAACAGAAACATGATTATATCATCCCCGTGCCTCCTTTTATAGCTTGTCATCTGCCTTAAAATATTCTAGCCTCACCTTGATTCCAATGTCACTTTTGTCCTGTATACTTCAACAATCCAGGTCTTATTTTCAGTCCTTAAAGGGGACCTCACCTTGAGCCTTTCAAATGGTCTTCCCTCTGCTTAGAACACTCCCTCCCCTCATTTGCCAAACTCACCCTCTGCTAAGCTAAATCCTATTCATCCTTCAATCTCAGATTTCATACCACTTCCCAGGGAAAACCTCCTTGACCTCCACCAAGTTTAGGTCTCCCTGTTATGTGCTACCAGTGGCCCCTGCACTTCTCTTTCAAAACACGCATCACATTGGTAATTTAGAGCAGCAGCACCTTTCCTGCTAGATTATATACTTCATGAGTACAGAGGCTGCATGTTTTTCTTCCTCCAGTATTCTTGAATCTAGCAGAGGACAGAATTAATTACAGTAGACCCTTGAACAACATGGGTTTGAACAGTGTGGGTTCACTCACGTACAGGTTTTTTTTAAAGTAAATACCGTAGTGCTACGCCATCTGTGGGTGGCTGAATCCACGGATGGGGAACCACGGCTATGGAGGGAGGGCCGATTATAAATGACAGGCAAACCTTTGAGTTCACAGAGGGTCGGCACCCCTAACCCCTGCGTTGTTCAAGGGTCAACTGTACATGAAAAGCCCACGAGGTATCCTATAACCACCCTTGTAGATACAGAGAGTCTGGTGGTTGCCAGACATAGGAGTACAGGGTGGAAGTAATCGTCGGGGGAGGTGGGGGAGGCAATAAAATGAATGGATTAAAAAAAGAAATGCCCTGGGAAAGTTTGTATCATCTTCAAAGGCATCTTTTCTTCTGTCAAACGTTTCCTAGCTTTCCATTTTTATAGGTTTAGGAGTTCCAGGGCAGCAAGTTTTGCTTACAACTCAGCTTGCGGTGCTTGGTCTGAGAAGAAATGCCCTTACTCCTTTCATCTCCTTGTTAGAATCATAAAAAGGCACAGGCTAAGGAGAACTGGGAAGCATCAGGTGAAGGAACAGGGCTACTCTGTCAAAAGCACCATCTTAAACTGAGAGAACTGTGGGCAACGGGATCACACACCTTCCCTCCGCCATATCCACTGGCATCAACCTCCCACCTTCTCCAACTTATATCCATCCTCTATCTCTCATTACAACTGGTAACTGTGGACTTCTAGTTAAAGAGGGCTAATACATACCACGCACTAAGCTCCACTTTTTCCTGAAACTCTACTGAAATGACAGTAGACGATTGTTAAAGGGGCGAGGGGGTCACATAAACACTCAAGGAGGAACGGAGTATATGGAGTAAAAAGAAACTAAACCATTATCTTCCACTGAAGCAAGTCCACAGATAATGGCCAGAACTAAAAAATTCAAGGGGTAGCTAAACTCAGAGGGGTAGCTTACTCAGAGATTGGAGTAAATATCAGAACGATCCTTTAAAAGAAGTGAAAGTAGTTACTCCTGGAGAGCAGGATACAAGGAAGGGGAACAAAGGAGTATGGGTTTTGGTTGTTGCTTTTTTTTTTTAAACAAGATTTGCAGAAACTTTTAAACCTTTAATCTATTTGCAACTATATAAAACTTTAATAAAAATTTTCAAAAAATAATTTTTTAAAAGCAAATAATAGCAAAAACACAGCAGGACATTCAATTGCTGTTACAATAAAAGCCATCAGAGAGAAAAAGGTAACTAAGAGTTACATATTCTATTGACTCAGATATCAAAAGTGAAAGATACAAAATGAAGGGAAACTGCCAACATTAGTGCTAACATGAAGAAAGCTTCCAAATTTCACTTGCAGGAAAGCTTCCAAACTCATTCTATGAGGCCACCATCATCCTGATACAAAAACCAGACAAAGATACCACTAAAAAAGAAAATTACAGGCCAATAACACTGCTGAACTTAGATGCAAAAATCCTCAACAAAATACTAGCAATTCAAATCCAACAATACATTAAAAGGATCATACACCATGATCAAGTGGGATTTACCCCAGGGATGCAAGGATTTTTCAATATCTGCAAATCAATCAGCCTAATACACCACATCAACAAATTGAAGAATAAAAACCATATGATCATCTCAATAGATGCAGAAAAGATTTCTGACAAAATTCAACAACGATTTATAATAAAAACTCTCCAGAAAGCGGGCACAGAGGGAACCTACCTCAACATAATAAAGGCCATATACGACAAACCTACAGCTAGCATCATACTCAATGGTGAAAAGCTGAAAGCATTTCCTCTAAGATCAGGAACAAGACAAGGATGCCCACAATCACTACTTTTATTCAACACAGTTTTGGAAGTCCTAGCTATGACAATGAGAGGAAAAAAGAAATAAAAGGAATCCAAATTGGAAAAGAAGAAGTTAAACTGTCACTGTTTGCAGATGACATGATACTATACATAGAGAATCCTAAAGATGTCACCAGAAAACTGCTAGAGCTCATCAATGAATTTGGTAAAGTTGCAGGCTACAAAATTAATGCACAGAAGTCTCTTGCATTCCTATACACTAACAATGAAAAATCAGAAAGAGAAATTAAGGAAACACTCCCATTTACCACTGCCAACAAAAAGAATAAAATACCTAGGAATAAACCTACCTTAGGGGACAAAAGACCTGTATGCAGAAAACTATAAGACACTGATGAAAGAAATCGAAGAAAACACAAACAGATGGAAAGATATACCATGTTCTTGGATTGGAAGAATAAATATTGTCAAAATGACTATACTACCCAAGGCAATCTACAGATTCACTGCAATTTCTATCAAATTACCAATGGCATTTTTCACAGAACTAGAACAAAAAAATCTTAATATTTGTATGGAGACACAAAATACTCCAAATAGCCAAAGCAATCTTGAGAAAGAAAAATGGAGCTGGAGGAATCAGGCTCCCAGACTTCAGACTATACTACAAAGCTATAGTCATCAAAATAGTATGGTACTGGCACAAAAATAGAACTGTAGATCACTGGAACATGACAGAAAGCCCAGAAATAAACCTGGGCACCTGTGGTCAATTAATCTACGACAGAGGAGGCAAGACCATACAATGGTGGGCAGTCTCTTCAACAAATGGCGCTGGGAAAACTGGACGGCTATATGTAAAAAAAATGAAATTAGATCATTCTTTAACACCATACACAAAAATAAGCTCAAAAGTGGATTAAAGATCTAAATGTGAGACCAGACACTATAAAACTCCCAGAGGAAAACATAGGCAGAACACTCTCTGCCATAAATCGTAGCAATACAATATCTTTTCTGATCTGTCTCCCAGAGTAATGGAAATAAAAACAAAAATAAACATATGGGACCTAATTAAACTCAAAACCTTTTGCACAGCAAAGGAAACCATAAACAAAATGAAAAGACAACCCACAGGCTGGGAGAAAATATTTGCAAATGATGTGACCGAGAACAGATTAGTCTCCAAAATCTATAAACAGCTCATGTGGCTAAATCTCATCAAAACAAACTACCCAATCAAAAAATGGGCAGAAGATCTAAACAGACATTTTTCCAAGGAAGACATAGAGATGGCCAAGAGGCACATGAAAAGATGTTCAACATCGCTAACGAGTAGAGAAATGAAAATCAAAACTACAATGATATATCACCTCACACCAGTCAAAATGGCTATCATCAAAAAATCCACAAACAGTAAATGCTGAAGAGGGTGTTGAGAGAAGGGAACCCTCCTACACTGTTGGTGAGAATGTAAATTGGTACAGCCACTATGGAGAACAGTATGGAGGTTCCTTAAAACACTAAAACTAGAGCTACTATATGACCCTGCAATCCCATTCCTGGGCATATATCTGGAGAAAAACATGGTCCAAAAGGATACATGCACCCCAATGTTCACTGCAGCACTGTTTACAATAGCCAAGCCATGGAAGTAACCTAAATGTCCATCGACAGAGGAATGGATAAAGAAGATGTGGTACATATATACAATGGAATATTACTCAGCCATAAAAAAGAATGAAATAATGCCATTTGCAGCAACATGGATGGACCTAGAGATTGTCATACTGAGTGAAGTAAGTCAGACAGAGAAAGAGAAATATCGTATGATATCACTTATATGTGGAATCTAAAAAGAAATGATACAAATGAACATATTTACATAACAAAAACAGACTCACAGACTTAGAGAATGAACTTATGGTTACGGGGTGGGGAGGAAGGGTGGAGGAAGGGATAGTTAAGGAGTTTGGGATTGACATGTACACACTACTATATTTAAAAAGGATAACCAACAAGGACCTACTGTATAGCACAGGGAACTCTGCTCATTGTTATGTGGCAGCCTGGCTGGGAGGGCAGTCTGGGGGAGAATGGATACATGTACATGTATGGCTGAGTCGCTTTGCTGTGCACCTGAAACTATCACAACATTGTTAATCGGCTCAACTCCAATATAAAATAAAAAGTTAAAAAAATTTTTCACTTGCAATGACCATACTACTGGTTAGGGCTTTTATTTAACATTTATCAGACAGATAGTTCATACACATAGTTTTTTAAAAATCCAAAGGCATAAGATGATTCATATCAAATGTAAAACGAGCAGGGAGTATTCACCAGACTTTGAGGAGTGCGGGATAAAGGGGTTCCAATGCTCCTCATCAGGAATTTCAGCCCCACACCTCATCTCCCACCCCCTTCTGTGGGACCTGATGCCTCCATGTTCTGAGGCTTTCCATGGTTAAGTCGTATAAAAGTGAAAATTAAAACTGAATCAAGAACAAAATTGCACACATATCATAAAAACAACTATGAAAATATACCTGTATATGTCAAAGAGTAAAAAGGAATACCCCAAAATGAAAAGAGTTGTTCTACAAGGACCACTTGTAGAATAAATCCTTTGGAGCATTTAACATTTTTCCATTAAAAGAATTTTTAACATACCTTGAGTAAAGTCAAGTTTTTAAAAAAACTTCACTCAAACTCTCAAGCAGGGCCACCATCAAATAAATGACCATCCACCAACACCACCTGCACAGGGCCTTCTATTCATCCACCCCACAAAGAAATGAAGAGCTTTCACGCTGGCTCTTTCTTACCTGCACTCCAACTCCTCACACCAATCTTTAACTCGGTGCTTATGTTCATGCCAAGGAATGATCATCAAGGAGTCACCGTCATAACTTAAAATTAAAAAAAACAAAAAGCATAAGTATTTAAAATACACATTACCTCAATGGCTGGCAACACAAGGAACATGATGCAAAAGTATCCCTATAACCTTAAACCTACAAGATTCCTGTTTATGGTATGATAAGTGGTACATGATACATATCATATACAATATGTAAAATTAAAAATACCAAATTGCTGATTTCTCTTTGATCATAAAATGGTTCAAAAGAAAAGAAAAATTCAAAACAAAAAATTTGGCAAAAAACTAAAGGATGGTATGGGTATATTTTCATTCACACATTCTAAAATACTTATCAAAAGTCCATATTTTATGTTCTTAATGCTAACATAAATGGTCCCTTGCCCTCAAAAAGCTTATAATCTAACTTGCTATGATCACAGAAATGTTCTCTAACTGTGCTATCCAATACAGTAACCATTAAGCTACATGTACCTATATTAACCACTTGAAATGTGACACTGATACGAAGAAAGAAACCTTTAATATTATTTCATCTTAATTAGTTTTATTTAAAATTTAAATAGCCACATGTGGCTGGTGGTTCCTATATTGGACAGCCTCGACCTAGAGGACAGGTAATAGCCACAGTGAAGAAATAATTCTGCAGGTAAAAAAATATCACTAACAAATGACAGAAGGAGAGTCTAAGAGGAAAAGACAAGTCCTCATTGGATGGAATTAAGAATAAATTAAAAAGGAAGAGTCAGGTAAAGACAGTAGAGTAACACAGCAGAGCAATGTGCTACGCATCAGGAGACAAGGGAAACATAAATGCATCCACCTGTTAACCATCTACACAGTCGTTCGCACATGACTTTCTAAAGTGAAGCACTTCAAACATTACCTCTAAAGTACCTTTTAGTCCTAATATTCCCTAAATCCATGAAAACAATGGAAACATCCTGAATTAAGAATGAAGACAAAAATTCTAAAAACAAATTTCAATTGCCTTGTTTCTACAGTTCAATAAAACATCTCATCTCATATTTGAGAATCAACAGTAGCACTTTCTAAAATTTATCATAGCCTCAGAGAAAGGACCGCACTTTTGTACATTATGAGGTTATGTTTTGCAATTTCTTATCTTACTAAGTTATGAAACATGCCTTGCACAAAAAATACTTCATAAGCGTTTAGAAATTATGTAACTAAAGAGATTAGTCTTCACGTAAAAGGGAACAGAGACCACCGGGCGGGGCGGGTTACAAGGAAAAGAGAAGCTAAAAAGATCTGGAAATGAGCAGGGCTAATTCATCTACCAACAGCATCCCCTTTGAAGTCATTATCATTGGTGCAAAGTAACCGAATTCAAAGTTCCCCATTAGATATTCACAATAAGAAATGTATTACATCATATTTTTAAAACACAGTATTTTACCTGCTTTTTAGCTAGCATGTAATGTCCTAGCAAACTATGTACCAGAGATACATTTTTGAAGGCCTGTGAGTTCACAGGTTAAACTGCAGAGTCATGCAGACAATTACAGTGTTCACTATGGGTGCCCCTGTCACACTACTTCATTTGTCACCAAGTAAAAACTATTTTATTTTCTTCCACATCAGTAACTCATATTTTACCACAGATCACTGAAAAGTAGAAAAGATAACATTTGGATACAATGATGATAATAATGCTCACTCTTCCAACATGAAAATAAATTGTACCAATGGACTGAGGAACAAGGAAAAAAAATAACACACCAAACTATTCCTGCCTTTTCTAATTAAAGCAGACACGGTTCCACAAGCTACATAAAATGTTTTCCAAAAAATTAAGAAAAACGTTTTCACAAGTTGAGATTTGTATCTTCTATACCAAGTACGTATTAGATACAAGGATCTTTACTAAAATGATTAGTAATGGTGTGAGTCTCTCAGCAAAATAACATTTATTTGGTATTTGAAGACTGGAAAATTGTAAAACTTTGTCAAGCTTCAGTAAACAGAAGTGGGTAAGAACACATGTCTATTTTTATCAAAACACACATTAAAGACAAGTTCTGCTCTGAGGCTCACTCCAAAAAGTAGGCCTAATAGAGTCCCAAGTTAATGATGCATTTTTGCTGCATTTTCAAGGCACAGCACAACTAAACGTTTCAACATGTTTCTGAATGTGCTGATCACCACTGATTTAATGATAAGAATACTAGTAGTAATATAAAAGGAACGATCAGCAATAGCATAATCTTTAATATTTATTGATCTCTCACTATGGACCAGACAGGATGAAATGCTTGTAATATATAATACTTAATTTAGTCCTACCTAACGTAGGTGATATTATCTTCCTCGTATTATACCGAGAACACTGAGGCCCAGGTTAACTTGCCCCTCCTCATAAAGTCAATAAATGACAGAGCTAAGGATTCAAACACAGCTCAACAGTTAGAATCCGAAGCTTACCCTTCTGGCTAGTAGATGGCCACCAGGTTAGACAGAGGTACCAGTTAGACTGTGCACAGCAGGTAGAGGGCAATATGAACCTTCCCAAATCTTAATTCAGACGACCCAATAAGGAGCTTTTACATGCATATCTGAAGGACACATTTCAACTGAGATATAAAACCAATCTTGACACCATTAGATCACTAGTACTAGTCTCATGAACCTAAATTCTACCAAATAAGGCTTCATCATCAAAACTTACATAAAAAATTAATTAATTAATTAAAATAAAATAAACCTTCCTGCTCTTTGATTTTCTTCCAGGATGCTTCTACAAAGCAAATTATTTTCAAACAAATTTTAGGAGTTTAAAATGCTTGCTACAAAAACACCATAAGTTCTTTATCATGAATCAAATGATAGTGTTTAAGAAACAGACAGGACGCCTTCCCCAGTCAGAATATAAATTTCTTTTCCTTTTTTTTTTTAACATCTTTATTGGAGTATACTTGCTTTACAATGGTGTGTTAGTTTCTGCCTTATAACAAAGTGAATCAGCTATACATATACATATATCCCAATATCTCCTCCCTCTTGCGTCTCCCTCCCACCTTCCCTATCCCACACCTCTAAGTGGTCACAAAGCACCGAGCTGATCTCCCTGTGCTATGTGGCTGCTTCCCACTAGCTATCAGTTTTACATTTGGTAGTGTATACATGTACGCGCCACTCTCTCACTTTGTTCCAGCTTACCCTTCCCCCTCCCCGTGTCCTCAAGTCCATTCTCTAGTAGGTCTGCATCTTTATTCCCATCCTGCCCCTAGGTTCTTCATGACCATTTTTTTTTTTTTTAGATTCCATATATATGTGTTACCATACAGTATTTGTTTTTCTCTTTCTGACTTACTTCACTCTGTATGACAGATTCTAGGTCCATCCACCTCACTACAAATAACTCAATTTCGTTTCTTTTTATGGCTGAGTAATATTCCATTGTATATATGTGCCACATCTTCTTTATCCATTCATCTGTCGATGGACACTTAGGTTGCTTCCATGTCCTGGCTATTGTAAATAGTGCTGCAGTGAACACTGTGGTACATAACTCTTTTTGAATTATGGTTTTCTCAGGGTATACACCCAGTAGTGGGATTGCTGGGTCGTATGGTAGTTCTATTTTTAGTTTTTTTAAGGAACCTCCATACTGTTCTCCATAGTGGCTGTATCAATTTACATTCGCACCAATAGTGCAAGAGAGTTCCCTTTTCTGTAAACCCTCTCCAGCATTTATTGTTTGTAGATTTTTTGATGATGGCCATTCTGACTGGTGTGAGGTGATATCTCATTGCCGTTTTGACTTGCATTTCTCTAATGATTAATGATGTTGAGCATTCTTTCATGAGTTTCTTAAGGGCAGAATTTTTGTTTGTTTTGTGTATTGCCATATCCTCAAAGCTAAAACAGTACCTGACATTTAGCAGACTCTAAAATAATGTGTCAACTAAATTAATTAATTGAAAGCACAACAAAGATTTTTTTAGAGTGATCTCACGAGTATCACAAAAATTCAAAATTGGAATAGAGCAATAAAAGGACTTACAGATACATCAAGGAGGTATATTTATATGGAATCTGTAGATCTGACAGTGAGAACAAGAATACTTTCCTGATATAGATTATTATCCTGATGAAAGGGCAAGCTATACTGGTGATGGTATACAGCTACAATCTAGATTATTTAACATGTCATATTACACTTATGGGGGAAAAGTGATTTCAGAATACATATTTTCCAAAATCTGCCCATTTTTTACACTTCAAAATAATTGATTAGTTCTATCATTACCATCTTTAATATACCCATATTTTAGCTACTTATTCTTTCATAAGGTAAACAGAATGATAGAATGCTTAATAAAATTCAAAGGAAAACGTTTTCATTAATTCTGTTCCCAACAAAAATATTAGCCATGTAAATTAATCACTAAGTGGATTAGGTGAAAATGTGGTTAAAAAAACCTAGAAAACACAACTGTTCCTTTTAAAGAGCTGCAGAAAGTTTGGTTAGTTGCAAAACTTACACTTTGAATCTAAAGTTCTATAAACACAAAATAACATTTACATACTCTTTTTTTTTTTTTTTGCGGTACGCGGGCCTCGCACTGTTGTGGCCTCTCCCGTTGCGGAGCACAGGCTCCGGACGCGCAGGCTCAGCGGCCATGGCTCACGGGCCCAGCCGCTCCGCGGCATGTGGGACGTTCCCTGACCGGGGCACGCACCCGTGTCCCCCGCATCGGCAGGCAGACTCCCAACTACTGTGCCACCAGGGAAGCCCTTTACATACTCTTTATTTCATCTTCTTCTTCTCTTGTTTCTATTTTGCTAGGGAAGACTTAGAAATTAAATGCATCATCCCCACTAAAAAAACGAAGTACATGGTAAACTTAAATTATCTCTTTACAAAATAATGGCTGCTTTAGCTTAATTTGAGGATTCTTTATATTAGAGCCCTGCTCGTTGTTTTATGGCAAACAATAAGCTTTGCCAGTTTCATCTGAAGGTTACATTTATCTGTCAGCAGAAAAGGAATGACTATAACAA